ATAAACTTAAAAAAATGAAGGAATTTTAGGATAGATTTCTATATTCTGGATGCATGAATAATAAAAGATTAAGTGCAAAAAGAGATACACAGAAGATGAAAATTCTGCAACAGATAATTTTGCGAAATAGACAGCTTTGTATTAGTTTGTAATTTTACCTAAGTATTCAAAAGATAAACTCCAGAGAGATCCAAATAAGAAACTATAACATTTCAATGTTACATGACTGCTCAAGAGGAGCTTGAACTGACATTATTTTGATGAATCATACCTCAATAATAAAACTGTGTCTAATGGTGCACTTATTCATGCGGCTGCTTGAGTAAATAGTTTCTACCTCTCCTACCTGGGAGTCCTGGCACAATCCAACATTCTCTAAACCTGGGGGCCACTGAGAACAGAGACAGAAGTTTGAATATTTTGAAGTTATTATGAAGTTTTGAGAGATCCACAATCACGGAGTGAAGTGATTGGTGAGGGTGGTCTCTATGAGCCTAGTCTTTGAAGAGTGTGGCTGTTTGTTATGATGAGCAAAGAGCTGCTTGTTATGATGAACATAAAGCAACAAAGACAGTCAAGGAAAATGAAGAAACGGGGAGAATGGTACAAACAGAAGGACAAGATAACGTTCCAGAAACTGGCAACAATGATTTAAAAAGCATATGGATTACCTGGCAGAATATTTAAATAAGTATTAGAAACATGTTTAATAAGTAAGCGTCAGCATGCAAGAACAATGTGAGAATTTTAATAGAGACAAAAAATTTAAAAGAGGACTAGACAAAAATATTTGTGTCGAAGAATACAATAAGTCAAGACAAAATTTTTAGCAGAGCACACTGTGGGAGAGGTTCAGGCTTTTCTTTCCCCTAGAGCAGGTACCCCTGAAATTTCCTGAGATATGAATCACTGTTTGCTCCCGCCCACCTTCTAGATTCTCCTCAGAGATGCCCAGGACTCCAGAGTTCAGGTTCTCTCATGTTGTGTGACTTTGAGTTAAAACACACCTGAAACAGTGTGACTGTTGTCCTTTATCAATTCATCATCATCCGCCTTTTAGTTGATGTGATTTTTTTTACCTCATTTTGAGGAAATGAAAATAAATCTGTAGACTCTATCTAGGCGAGAATTTTTTTTTTTTTTTTTTTTTTTTTTTTTTTTTGAGACAGAGTCTCGCTCTGTCGCCCAGGCTGGAGTGCAGTGGTGTGATGTCAGATCACTGCAAGCACCGCCTCCCAGGTTTACACCATTCTCCTGCCTCAGCCTCCCAAGTAGCTGGGACTACAGGCGCCGCCACCACGCCCGGCTAATTTATTGTATTTTTAGTAGAGACCGGGTTTCACCGTATTATCCAGGATGGTCTCGATCTCCTGATCTCGTGATCCACCAGCCTCAGCCTCCCAAAGTGCTGGGATCACAGGCGTGAGCCACTGTGCTTGCCCTAGGCCAGATTTTCTTATCTCTCTTAGCTCTCTTTCCCTTGGTAGATGCAAATGTAGCCCCAACTATGATAGAAATCAGTAAACACTGCAGCTCTTACAACACTTTCTTGGTCAGCTGGTCCAACAGTGTGAGGACCACAGTAGCACAATTATTTTATGAGACTAATTCTGTATCCAAAGCAGACACATTTTTTTTTTTTTTTTAATGTACTAGGACCTCCAGTCCATCGCAGCCTATGATTATGGAGAAGGAAAGAAACATTCTTCAAATTTCAATCATACATGTGGTAAGAGAAACTGACATTTCTGTCCACTGGTTTCCAGACCTGGTGTTGTAGACCCTGGCCACTGGGCACTGTAGTGCTCTCTGTTTTGGGGGAGTTTAAGCATCCTGGAGAATGGTATCCCCAAAATGGGCCTTCTTTAAAGATTACATTTCCTACTATAAAACAGAGGCAAAAAATACCTGCTGTTTATCTCACATCAGACTGTGGAGACTTAAGTCAATGTTTCCATTGTTCTATTGACGTCTTTGTTTCTGGGCAAATGTGAAGGAGCAAGAACTGCTGGATCTCAGACTCATGTTCCTGTGATCACATCTCCTATCCCTTAACTATAGCTACATTCCCTCGTGTCAGAACACATTATGCAGTGTCTCATTCTAGGAATAAGATATCAGTAACTTGGACAGTGGCACTAGTAGCTTCTCTATCATTAAAAAAAATGTGCAGATAAAGTTAATTCTTCTAAGTATAAATCACTACCTATCAGGTTTGGGCTTTAATTTTTTCAAATTATCTCCATATGACTGGTGCGTATCCTTAGAGTGTGAATTTATTTTGTTAGACAAATGTGGTATCTATCGCTGTCAGTTCAGGCACTTGGTAAGACGTGCTGGTCAGTCTGGTTGGAGGTATCTGGGCTCAGTCTTCATTGCACATGTTAGGGAAAGCTCTGATGTAAAGAGAGTGGACGCTGTCACTTATGTAGCAGTGTGGATTAAACTGCTGAAGATCATCATACTATGAGGTCTCCATACCCTTTTACACAGCAGAGTAGATTTCCCTGGCTTTCAGCTGCCTGCTAACTTACATTAAATATTACTGCATGTACTTTTACTTAACACTGTTTTCTATTCTAAGCAATTGCATGCTTAGTTAATTAAAGTAAGCACCAGTAAATTTTAAAACTAACAGTCAATTACCTGTACAACTAACATCAAATGGGTGTGGTGAATAAGCCAAGAAGAGATACCAGAAAACAAAACTCATAAAGACACACCTTGTGTGAGTTGAGAGTTGTCAGTGAGCACAGAAGACGTCAGGAGCTTGTGTTGACTTTTACATGAAGAAAGTCAATTATATTTGACACCCAGAAGGCTGTCACACCCATGAGAGAAATATGTAGAGTGATCCACATAACTCAGAAATTAGAAAGTGATAAAGTCACAAACTTGCAAAACCAGCAAAAACGACATTCAGTGTATTTAGTATTCAGCTCTGTTTCTTCAGAAAAAGGGATGGGTTATATCTGTATGGAAAATGGGACAAGTAGTTTTAAGCTGATTCTCCTGGGAAGTTGCTAATGAAATCACTCAGGCGATGCTCTGACACAGGATTGTGAGGAGGATGTTGACCCCTGGTGGTCGCTGTCAGCAACACGGGACGCTCAACCCTGGTGGGTGCCTTTGTTACTTACTGTTTTGTCCACAAGAGATTTTAAGCTGTCAGGTGCTGCTTGCAGGTGAGTTTTTAAACCTCAGATGAGGAAAATAACATGACCACACAGAAGATGAGAAAATTGAAGACCTCACTTCATCAAGCACATTCCACTGATGAGCACTGTTTACACAGAGAGCCAGCAATGAGCTGGGAAGAGGAAGGGGCTGGGGAAGATCACCCATAGAAGGACGCATCCAGCCTGCTTGAACTCCCTGTGGAAGGAGGGTTTCGATGTTTGCCCTCAGCTAATCAAGGGCATTTCAAGACCTTCAAAAGCTTTCAGAAAAAGAGTTTTCATGAACAAATGCCAAATACATTACTCAGAGTTGTATTTTTTCATATTTATTCTTCCCCTCTAGGCAGCACCGCAGCAGGGTGTTCTCAGAATTCTCCCTGATCCTTCTTGAGTTCCTGGTGCAACTCCTGGAGGAGAAGCCTGCATGGGGGAGGGAGCCCTTCTCATGTGCAGCCCTGAGGCTGTCCCGTCACCTCACCCGCCACTGCCCTTCAGTCACTTGGTAAACATTTGTGAGCTAATCTTCCTGAAACGTGTGGTTTTGGGCAGTATATTCACCAGGTAATAAACTCCTTAAGCTCTGTTTATTTTGGCAGGCACGTATCCCTTTCAGGAGCACAGGTTTGTTCTGAGTGTGTGGCAGTGGATAATTACTGAGGGGGGGTTTACATTCATCTTGTCGTCTCCCACAGTGTACCCTCCATGGGGTTGGCACCCACAAGCAAGCAGACAGACTTGCTCAGCTGGAGGATGACAAACATTTTCATAACCTATGACCTCAGTGATGCTCTTTCCCTGCAAGACCAATCGTGATCATGCCTCTGGCTAATGTGCACCCATCAAGGGTGAGCAGTGACCACCTCTGTGAGGGCTCCTTCAGGGGCACACTCCCTTTGTAAAGGGAAACTTTTGTTCCTACCTGGTCCCATGAATGTGTTTGTATTTGCTGCACAAACAGCCTTATTCAGACCCACCACCCAGGAGCTTACAGTGTACCTAATCCAACTCTAGGGCATTGTACACAGAGTCTCTCATTGCCAGGGTCTCCAATTCTCATGAAAGGATGTTCATTATGAGATTTGCCAGAACTTTCTGGCCTTTTAGAGACATGAACCTGCCTCTAAAAGCTTAAAAATCTTACTCTTTGGGAAGGAGCATTGTAAACCAGAAGTAAGATAAGCTCTAAATTAACATATATTTTGTGGATTTTGGAAGAAAGAGTTCAAATAGTAATAGCCTCACCCACTTTCCCTCTGACTAGTATCAGTTCTAGAAAGCACTGAAAAAAACCTGTGGTGCTCTGAAATACTTTAGGTTTGTTATATTAGGGCATCACCAGAAAAAGAAGGAACCAAGTGTCCTTGGAGATTGATCCATTGTGATAGATTTTTGCCTCTGGGGCAGGATGGTCGTGGTGGAGGAGGCTGTGCCTGTGTAGGGCAGGGAGTCATGGGAATTCTCACACCTTCTGTGCAATTTCTTTGTAATCCTAAAACTGCTCTAAAATAAACTTTATGATAAGGAGTGACAGAAACATTTGAAATAAATTTTTGCCACTTTTTAAGCATCATTCTTAGTCTCACCATGTGGTCAAATAACCTTGCTCCAAATCACATATTCATCCCATTGGAAAACTTGTTCACAGTAGCACGTTCATGGAACGTTTGTATCAACTTTGTTGAGTGTGGCCTTTCCCACTCCATGAATTTGGCTTATGTGATAACTCTTGAGTGGAATATTTATCCTAAAATTAGAGTATGTACTTGTTTCTATTGTTCTTTTTTTCTAGAATATATAACCGATTTTGTAAACATTCTTAAACTTAATAACCCCTGTCATCTCCTCAGTCCCGCACAGCTGCCTTCTCCCTCAGGGTTTCTGACACTCTCAGGATGTGGTTTTCACACTGTGCCTCTCGCACAGTAATACACGGCCGTGTCCTCAGATCTCAGGCTGCTCAGCTCCATGTAGGCTGTGCTTGTGGACGTGTCCGCGGTAATCGTGACTCTGCCCTGGAACTTCTGTGCGTAGTTTGTTATACCAACAAGAGGGATGATCACTCCCATCCACTCAAGCCCTTGTCCAGGGGCCTGTCGCACCCAACTGATAGCATAGGTGCCGAAGGTGTATCCAGAAGCCTTGCAGGAGAGCTTCACTGAGGCCCCAGGCTTCTTCACCTCAGCCCCGGACTGCACCAGCTGGACCTGGGACTGGGCACCTGTGGAGAGGACACAGGAGTGAATAAAACCCTCTTTAACTAAACCAGGATCCTTTCCTCAGCTTTGGGACTAGGAAGCCCCTTACCTGTAGCTGCTGCCACCACAAAGAGGAGCCTCCAGGTCCAGTCCATGGTGATGAGCTGTGTTCCCAGGGGCTTCTTTAGAGGAGGGATGTGGTTGTTTTGTGATGCTCTCAGGGCGCCAATATATCTATATTTATCTCAGGAGACCTCAGGTTATTTGCATATTCATGTGGCAGGGTATTTCACAGCTCAAAGGCTGAACCAGGATTAGAAAGAAAACAGATGTCACATCGGCTGGATAAGAGTGGGATGCTGAGACACCAAGCCCTAAATCCTGCTTGAGGAAATGCATCCCTAACCCAATTCTAAGCTGTCTGTGGACAGCAGTCTTCCCACTGAAGAACCCAGGATGTGCTCCTGATTTTACTGGGTGTGAACCTATTGTGGGATGTGAACCCACATTTTATTGGCATAGAGATTACCTGGGTTGTTTCTGGGACCATCGCTGTCTCTGACATTGAGAAGGCACCTTGACTCCATTCTGGCTCCATTAGGAACAGTCAGAGCTCTCTGGTAACACGGAAAAGGTGGCCACTAGTTATCCCACATGAGTGTCCAGCAGGGCCCATGGAGACTTCTGAGATCTGCTGCGTGTTCCCACGACAGACTCCCCAGCACTTTCCTGAGGGTCCTGGCCTCCCAGGTCCTTCAATGGAAAGACTCTTGGTTTACAGATTTGCCCTCTGCTATATGATTGGCTGTCAGATTTCCCTCCCATTGACAGTAGGAATGAGGGGTTGAAATAGAAATAGGAATTTGAGTTTCTTGATGAACTCATATCTCCCAAAATAATTACCAAGTAATTTGTATTTTGAATAAGTTTGTGTTTTATTTCAAACTCTATTAAATAGAATGATTTGAAGTATTTACATGGTTTTAGATCATATCCATAGATGATCATCTTTACATGTTGAGTTCTGATCCGCTTGGTCTGCGCACCTACCACACTCTTTAATCCACCACTTCCAAGTCACAAACACAATGTAGGAAATATTACTTATCTCTGAAGTCTGAATAACTTTTTCGTAGGGATATATTGTCTCCCCCAGTTATGTGCCCATTGAATTAAAAAACCATCCATATCCTTCATATTCTCACTATTCAGATATTTATTATCCTAGAATCCTACTTACATTGCTTTTTGAGTGATGTGAGTGGTCCAGATGAAATAAAATATTTAAATGAATATCAGCAACATGTTGAACACTTAATTTAGAATGACTTGTTGAATAAGGAAGACTCAGGCCCTGGAAGAATATTTCTTCTTATTTATCTCCAACAAATAAGTGAGAACATATAGTATTTGGTTTTCTGTTCCTGAATTAGTTTGCTAACAGTAATGACTGCCAGTTCCATCATGTTCTTACAAAGGACATAATTTCATTCTTTTCTTAGCTGCATAGTATTCCTTGGTTTGTATGTACCACCTTTTTCTCTATCCATTCTGCCAGTGATGGGGGTTTAGGTGAATTCCATGTCTATGCTATTGTGAATAGTGCTGCAATGAACCTACATGTTTATATTCCTTTAGGTATCTGTCCAGTTGTAAGACTGTTGGGTCAAATGAAACTTCTGTTTTAGATTATTTGAGGGATCACCACACTGCGTTCCACAAGGGTTGGACTAATTTATATTCTCACCAGAAGTGTATAAATTTCCCCTTTTTTCTGCAACTTTAATTTTTTTTTTTTTAAGATTACCCATTCTAACTGATGTGAGATGGTACTTCACTGCGGTTTTGATATGTATTTCTCTAATAATAGTGATATTCAGCATTTTTTCCTATGATTGTTGGCCACATGTAGGTCTTTTTTGAAGTATCTTTTCATGTCATTTGGTAACTTTTTATTTCTTGAATGTTTGTTAAAGTTCCATGTGTATACTAAATATTGGAGCTTTGTCAGATGTATAGGTTGTAAATATTTTATTTGCCATTCTATAGGTTGCCTGCTTACTCTGTTGATAGGAAATTTTGCTATACAGAAGCTCTTTAAATTACTTAGGTCCCATTTGTCAATTTTCGATTTTGTCGCAACTACTTCTAGCATTTTCATTATAAAGCCTTTGTCAGTTCTTATATACTAAATTGTATTTCCTTGGCTATTATCCAGAATTTTTATAGTTTTAGGTTTTACATTTAGATCTTTAATCCACATATAATATTTTTTCAATTGATGTTGAAAACACATTTGATGAAACTCAACATCCTTTCATAAAAAAAATTTAAAAATGGGTATAGAAAGAACACATCTCGACAAAATAAAAGTTGTATTCGAGAGACTTTCAGGTAGTATCAGACTGAATGAGAAATAACTAAAAATCTTTTCTCTAAGATCTGGAACATGACAAATTTCCCACTTTAACCACTGGTAAAGCATAAATCCTTCTGCTGCCCCCATAGCGGCTCTTACCTGCAAGCGCCACCTACTGGCCGGATGCTCAAACTGCATGACCTAACACAAAGCCGCTACCACCAGTGTACAGCAGTTGAAAATGAGATTAGCTTCTCAATACTTCTGTGATTCCAGCTCCGCAAAAGACCACGGGCCTGCTCACATGCCCAGTATATTACTACTACAACGGGAATTTGAAAAAGCCACCACACTAAAGCTCTTAATAACAAAATAAATCACACTGAGTAGTTGCCCCTCACCTGGCCATTTCCATCAAGGCTGGTGCTTTTGCTTGCCAGGCTCGGTGGCTCATGTGTGTCCAGCTTGGTGCTCCTCTCAGGGACTGAGCAGGGAACTCAGGTCACTGTGCATTTCATAGATCAGTCCATCGCCTGAGGCAACAGAGAGCTTCTCCTTGTGCACAGATATCAAGTGTGTACTCATCTGCTTCTGCCACAGTCAGCTCCAATGTGTAAGGCCACCTACTAACATGAAGGGGGAACGTAACAAGCCAACACAAAACCGGCATTTTTACTTACTTTACATAGTTTCTTGAACTACTTCAATATGTACATTAACATTGACAATGAAAATCGTAGAATTCTCCACTAATACGTAATTACATTTTTACGACATGTTTCCCTTCTCAAATTAAAAGTAGTGCATTTAACATGGTTCTAATTTCATATTAACATGTGTTCACTTTATGTCGTTTTTTAATTGTTCTTGGTTGTCAGCATGTCTATTTATATGTCCCTAAGTTTGCTGATTGACTTCTCTTCTAGATAAAATATACTGCGTATCCCCTCTAATACATAGTTTTAAGTATTTTATTTAATCTTTAGATTATCTATTACTTCTCTTCTAAAAAACCCTCATTGTTTGTTGCTATTAACTATTTGATGAAATACTACTGTCATACCTTCTTTAACTTATCTTAGCATGAGTTCCTTTGGTGCTTGGAACATCTCTGTAATGACTGTTTTGAAGTTTCCATTTGTTAAATCCAACATCTGGAATGACTCACAGTTTCTGTTTTCTGAAATTGTGTGCATTGGTGACATTCCAGTTTCTTTGAATATCTCTGAATTATATTTAGAATCTTGGCAGATAACACATCTTAGAAACTCTGAATCGTGACCCCCGTACCACTCTCCTGTGTATCAATGAAATGTCTCCCTATAAATTTATTCCTCCATGGGCTTGTCCCTTTGAGTGATGTCTCTTTCCTTCACACTATAAATGGAATGATGTCACCATTCACAGGTGTAGCCCTGGATGTACACACAGTTACCATGGAAATACTGCCATTTGGCAGTGTAGTCTTTGAAAGCCTCTTTACCTGATGTCTCTGTTTGGGTGTCTGTATCTCTTAATATAACAACTGGATGCTATTCCGCACTTATTGCTGGCATGGTGTCACTGTTTTGTGTCATAAAGTGATCCACAATCTGATGCAATTAAATTTGTGTCTATTTGGAGGGGCAATTTTTGAGGTTTTTTTTTTCTGACCCAAAAGGTTTGTTTGTTGTTTGTTTCAAGAAATGGGGTCTGGCGATATTTTCCAGGCTGTCTTTAAAATCCTGGGCTCCTGAGTCTCTCACCTCAGCTTCCTGACTCATTTGGAACTACAGGCATGTGGCACAATGCTCAGCTGATTATTCTTAAATTATAATTTTTCTCATTTTCAGATAAACTGAGTGCATTGTAGTTTAATATATTGCTGTAATGGAGCTTTTGGCTTTCCAAGAATTACCTCAAAAATATATGATAATTTTAGGAGAACCTTATGGTAGAAATTATTCATATTCTACTACAAATAGTCACACACTTTACAGAGAATTTTGAAACTTTGTTTCTATGCCTTCCATGTAGAACTGTGAGTCAGTTAAGCCTCTTTTCTTTGTAAATTACCCAGTCTTGAGTATTTCTTCCTAGCAGTGTGAGAACAAAAAAATACACTCTTTTGGTACCACAGAGAGTAAGGCACTGCTATAAGGATACCCAAAAATATGGAAGCAACATTACAACTAGGTAAAAGATAGAGGTTGCAACAGTTGGCAGGGCTCAGAAGACGACAGGACGGTACTGAAAAGTTTGTAATTTCCTAGAGACTTGTTGAATGACCTTGAACAAAATGCTGGTAGTAATATGGACAATAAAATCCAGGATGAGGGGGTGTCAGATGGAGATTAGAAACTTTTTGGGAATTGGAGCAAAGGTGACTCATGCTATGCTTCAGCACGAAGACTGGCAGCATTTTGCCTCTGCCCTAGAGATCTGTGGAAATTTGAACTCGAGAGAGGTGATTTAGAGTATCTGGCAGAGAAATTTCTAACCAGCAAAGCATTCAAGATGAAGAACATAAAAGTATGGGACATTTTCAGCTGACAATGCGATAGATAAGAAAAAACCAATGTTCTGAGCAAAAACTCAAGCACGCTGCAGAAATTTGCATAAGTAACAAAAAGCCAAATGCCAATCAACAAGAAAGTGGGGAAAAAAATGTCGTCAAGACATGTC